CTCTCTATCCCCATTTCCCGCATCCTAATGATTGCGTGGTGTTCTGCTGTCTCCTTGTCTTCTTGTACTGTACAATATATGACCCTGTTGTATTTTACTATTATCAAGTTGTTGTTGTTTTTTCTTGAACTGATCTTTCTCTTTGCTTCTCCTTTGTTTGTTTGGTCGGGGGTTTGTTGTTGTTTTGTTTTGGGTTTTTTGTTTGTCTTTTTATTTGATTCCTAACTCAAAGTCTTCTATTCCTTTTTACTCATCCCAGGGGTCCAGTTTGCCCATCAGCCAGTCAAAGATTGCCAAGCTTGTGAGGAAACTCCACAGGACCAAAAAAGACAACCCCAGTGACTAGCAGTAGCCGTTGTTTTTGTTGTTTGGTTGTTGTTGTTGTTGTTTTGTTTTGTTTTTTATTGGGGGGGGGATTTGTTTGTTAGTTTTTTGGTTTTGGTTGTTTTTTGTTTTTGTTGTTGTTGTTGGGGTTTTTTTGGGGGGTGGGGGTGTTTTTAATATTGTTTTTGTTTTTTTGTTGTGGAGGGGGGATTTGGAGGGATTTTTATTTTTTATTTTCTCTTCTTTTGAAGGGATACTGTTAAAGATGATAGTCTGTCTAAAAATATATAAACATTTTTCTGCTCGAAAAAAAAATGTATGGTCGTCTGAGACAGGTTCGACTGTTTATTGCTTTATGTCTTACAGGAGGCAATGTTCTAGCAGTGAAGTATATGTATTAGTTTTAACTTATCTTTTTATAGACATTTCAGTCATAATTGGGAGAGGCAAGCTGAAGCGAAGAATCCCTTTGAAGTTTTCCCCTGTGCGTGATTAAACTTTGCGAGCAGAATTTAAAAAATAATTATCGCTGCTAAAAATTGACTTTTTTTTCGGAATCAGCGTATCAAAATAAAGAAAGTTACACGCGTTGAACCTACTTCGATGTTCTATTCAAACTTAAGCAAACTCGTTTTCAACGGTCTATTTGGAATCTGAAATCCTGTATCGTTTTGCATCTGATGTACAGTGTAGAATATGGCGACTTATTTGAAAGACACTGTTCTGCTCTTTATTGAGAACAAATTCCACCAATGGCTCCAGACGATTAAGTCCAGAGGCTACAGAGCACGCCGTTATGAGAGGGCGTACGAAGAACTAGTAACATTTTGCAAACAGTTAATCAAGATGCAAGCAACTGTGATGAAAAAGAACAGATCTAGTAATAATCCCATAACAAATTGAGTGAATAAATGCAACATATCTGGTCTAGCCGTATTCGACACTGTATGCGGCTTCACAAAGACGTTAAACTGTAACAAAGAAATATAGTAAAATACCAGATTCTAGTCGCTGTTCCCCTGTCCCTGGTCCCCGGTCGCTGTTCCCTGGTGTTAATAACGTCAGCAATGGCTGTTCTTCGGTGCAGTCACAAAATGGACAATCTCTATGACCAAAATAACAATCTTAATACTTTTTTACAGGTTCATATTTGTCATGGGAGCTCTCTGCATCGCATTCTTAGATCAAGGTAAGCTGGCGCTATTTTTAGATGTGTGTGTGTGTTCTTGTGTCTGTATGTGTTTGTGTGTGCCTATGTGTTTATTTATGTTTGTGTGTGTGTGTGTGTGTGAGTGTGTGTGTGTGTGCGTGTGTGTGAGAGAGAGAGAGAGAGAGAGTGAGAGAGAGAATGTGTGTGTGCGTGTGTGTTTG